CCCTCCTTCTTCCCCCCCCCCCCCCAATTCTACATCTTGGACACCAACATGCAGTATTTTGGCTCTGTTCCAGCGGTAAAAATAAGTAAAAATAAATAAAGAGACACGTAGTAATTCATATTGGCAACCCTGGAGCATACACAGGCGGCCATACTCCCGTATCCCATGCACCCTGGCTTTTTGCGCTCGCATCGGTGACCCCACACGAGCTTCAAGCTCGGAGCTCCCCAGACGCTATCTTTAGTAGTTACCAGGCCCCAGACGCTTGATACGCCTTGCTAGGGTAGATGAACATTACCCCATACATAAACCCGTTCATTCCCCCTCAGAATGCAATGTGTAGACATCAAGAGCAGTGCTAGTAATAATAGTCTAAGCACCCGCGCGACGGCTACCTGCAGCCGCCGAAGCCAAGCAAGCCTTTTCCGCACGAGGGCATCCGGCAAAAATTTGACCAAAAAAATGGCATAAAAGTGGCCCCCCTCAACTCCGAACCACCTGCTTAAATCGAACATAATGGCGTAACCGAAACATCAGACTCGCAGTAACACGGCCGCGATACACAAAACCTCGTCATATCCGAGCGACCCCCCCCCCAAAACAAAAAAAAAATTGCTAACACGCCAACGCCAGAAATATCCTTCTCTCCGTGTCAGCCGTGACAGAGGACAAGCTCATCAAACATATCCACCATATGGGCACGGCAAAAAAGACCATCCGTAGCCACACGTACCAGCTCTGTCTGTGGTCACCCCCAGAATACACGAGGCTAGGCAAAAATGCCGTCTCCCACGACTCATCCCCAGAATCTCTCTTCCCAGCTCCCCGAAAAACCGAGCAACAGCCCAAAGTATCCGACGCTCAACCGTGGATATTCCCCCCTTTCCCAGAGCACGCATGCATGTTATACTATGGCAAAGCACAGCCACATGCTACCCCAAAGTGCCCCGGGTAACTCACTCAACGGCACATACGGAGCATGTACACCAGTATATGAGGCTCCGTCCCGTAAAGGTCCAAAAAAAAAACCCCCAGTCAATTGCAGCTCAAGTCAAGCTCGGTCGCCACCTTTCCTGTCCCTTACAAAAATAATACTATCCCCTAAAAGCAGCGAAGACTACAACTAGGTCACAGTATCCACAGGGCCCCGGGTAGCGGCTGGTGACGTCAAGAGACATTAATAAGAGTGAAGATTATAGCGTTTATCCCTTTGGCTGTGCTAAGGTGCCAGTCAGGTATCGAATTCTGGTTTTCAGCCAATTAAAAACCCTACATTTAGGTAACGTTTTATAACCTAGATTTTTATGGGTACTTATATTATCATATAAAATATTAAGGGATTAAGGTACCATGTGAAATTAAGCTTTTAATTGGTTGCTCATCCCCGCAGCTACATCATTGTAGTCTTCGCTGCTTTTAGGGGATGGCCCGTCTCCCGCGTTCCCTGACGGCGGACAGGGCTTTTGTCGAACCCCACCGATGGATTGGATGAGCAGATAAGCTTGGCCCTTGGCCCCAACTCGACACGGGAGCCCGCGTCTAACATCGAGGTCGGTGATTGACATCATCGAGCGGCAGGCTGACATGAATCCATTCTCAAGTCATGAGCCGCACAAATGGCAGTTCGTCTTGCTCCCGATAGTTCCGAGAGGGCCAGGGTCATCAGCCCGCAACCCCTCCGCCTTTTGCTTAGTAATGCCCAGGTAGCTTGACATGCTGCCCATTGGCCGCCGTTCTCATTTACTTTTATACGCACCAGGCATCACGTCGAATCATGGCCACTTTGCTCACGAGTCACTGCAGCAGGATGAAGCTCAAGTCCTTTGCATTTCAGGTTTCCTATGTAATGCTCCCAACACCCAAAACGCCGCTGCCATGAACAGCTACAACCAACAGGGGGAGGCATCTCAACTCCGCTTCAAACTTAGGAATGATGTGATAAGCTAATCGTGTCAAAGGAAAAAAGAAGAAGAAAATAAAGGTCACATCCAAAATCAAAGGAGACCAAACCCCGGTTTGAGCTTTTTTGAGTCGACAAACACTACAGGATATCCAGCCCTCAGCCAGCTCAACAACTACAACCGCAACAATGCCCTGCTTCCTGCAAGAGAACCAACCGCTGTTGTTTGCAACCCTTCTCCACTCCGAGCTGCCGAATGATCGCCTACTTGGGGTTGCCAAAGTTGCCAACACCCGGCAAACCCTCTCGATACTTCGTCACCCCGACACAAGGGAGACTAATGTCCACCAGCAAGCGATGAATGTCCTCCACAGTAACAACCCGGTTTCAAAGGAAAGAGGGGGGAATAATACTTGTCAAAAAAACCCATGATTTCTTTTTTCGGCGCAACGCTCCAGCAAGCCAAACCCAGACAAACGATACCCAGAATGTCCATCCCCGATATTAAAAATCGGGGGGGAAAAGGAATAGAGAAAACAATGGAAAGAGAGATAAAAGACAAGTAAAAACAGTAAAGAGAATTGCTCCCCCCCACAAAAGATGCAGCACAGCACACTACAACGAAGGAATTAGATCGGCAAAATGGTTTAGGGATTGAGGGAAGGCGAAATGGTAGTAGTTGAAGGGAGCACAGCCCTACTGTGGGTAGTAAACCATTCCAGATGCATGCTGAGGGTAATAAAATCCATCGGGGCTCGGCGTCACCATTCCTCCCATGCCCATGACACTAGGCTGGTATCCTTGAGGCGCCGAGTACGTAGGGTACGCAATTTGGTTAGCATTGTAATAGTAAACCATCCCATTCATTTCTTGAGCCACTGTGTTCGAACTGATCGAAGGATTTGGCCCGTGGCCATATGAAGCCGATCCTTGGTCAGGTTGGCCCTGAGGGGAGAAGCCCCCGGGTACGCTCCCGGGCTGGGTGGCAGGGACAAATCCAGGTGCTGGCGCAGTTGGTGCCATATTAGGCCCAGAGTACCCAGGAGCATAGTAATATCCCTGCTGTTGCTGAGTTTGGTATACTTGCTGGCCATAGTATTGTGGCTGGCCGTACGTGTTGGGTTGGAACGGCGCAGCATGGATAGCTCTCTCCGGAATGTGAGAGAGAGGCGTTCCAGTTGACTGCTGGGACGGATATGACGGTCGTCGTGCATGTGCCTCCTGCCCATAGCCATTGGCTACCTGCACGGGAACCTGCTGATGGAAAGCCCCCTGGAAGGCTTGAGAGCCAACTCCCTGTGTCATTGTAGGAGACTCGATATCTGCCACGGAAATGTTCTTTTGTGGCCGTGGTTGATGCATAGGGATCGAGTTTGGCCGGTTCTCCTGTACCGTCGGTTTCTGAGGCAGCGGATGGGTCTGAGGTGGTGCAAGCTCACTGATCGACGACTCAGCCGCAGCAGCTGGCTGCTCTGACGTCTGAGGCACAGGCAGGAGAACAGGTTCTTGCCCCAGAGCCGGTGCAGCGACATGGACGGGCCCTGGCGCTGGTACTTGCACAGGCATAGGAGGTTGGGGTACAGCGCTTGGTGGAAGTCGGACGACTGGCCGGACGTTATCCGCGGGCATCGGTGGCCTCGAAATGATGGATCCTGTTGGTGAAAACATATAGTCGCGCTCGTGAGCGACAGATGAGCGGCGACTAAGAGCAATGCTGGGCGAATAGGCACTTCCGTAGTAGCTACCTCCAAATACACTAGTCCGCCTTGAAAACCCTCCCATGGAGCTCCATGTAGGCCTAGGCTTACCACGCATACGCTGCTGGTTAGGTCGCTGAGCTCGGGGGATGAAGATGAAGGATCGGTCAGAGGCAGGCAGGATGTATCGCGGAGGATGACCGGGCAAGGAGATTCGGACGGGCTTGTCTCGTCGAAGAGGGGGACGGTGATCGGGCAACTTGGTGTACTGCTTTACAGGCATACCGGGAAAGACGGCAGGCTCCACCATGCCCGGCAACATGACGCGAACTTGAGCGTTGCCGATGTGTTTCTCGGTGGACAGAGTACGGTTGATGGGAGTAGCACTCCGCTCACACGTGGGAACAAAGCCATTCCCGTTAGGTGGCCCTTCATCATCTGGCATCTGTCGAGGTCGACGGGGAACAGGATCGGCGACAGTATCGTGCATGTCGTGGGTCCATTGGGCATTCGTCGTTGGATCCGAGGGGTGCTGCATGTGGCTGCTTGGGAGAGGTTAGCGCATGATATATCAGAGAAGGGGTTCATTCGGGAAGCTGGACTGAAAGGCACAAAGGAGCCATTGTGAACGACGTACTTGAAAGGGGCAAAGGGGCCACCAACACCATAGCGACCGCCCCTTCCTCTCCCTCTGCCAAAGGGCCTGAATCCATTCGCGGCAGGTCCAGCGTGTCGATGGTCGTGCATGAAGAACGAGCCCCTATTGGGCACAAAGGCGGGATCTTGGTCTCTCCGGCGTTTGTAGTCCTCATGCTCTTGTCGTCGCCGCTCAGCGTGGGTATCGGGCTGCTGCCGCATAGCAGAGGCCGAGCTAACAACAACAGGAGCAGAAGGGGACTTGGGCGGCGACACGACGACCTCATCGAACTGCATCTCCTGAGGGGGTGCGGGCTGATCGGCGATGGATAAGCCATGCAGCATCATGTCAGTGTCGGATGCTTGCTTCGCATTGCCATTTGCCGCAGCCGCCATGTTGGCACGAGCAGGTTTTGCTGAGGGGCCATTGGTGGCCTCGGAGGCTTTGGGACAGGTCGGCGAAGCTTCATCGATGTTGCTGGTGTCGCTATCTTGGCCAGCGTCATCGTCATCAGTGAGGGATCCTTCGGTCAAGGAGTCGTCGTCGAGATCCAGCGCATCAGGACGGCCGTCATCATCGCCCTCATCTTCGACGCGGCGCCTGTGGCCGATCTTTCTGCGTCGTGGTGCAGGCATGCTGTCGCGTAGGTTGTTGGCTTGGACGGCTTGGATTGGTCGACCTCGCAGAGACTGCGAGAGACGACAGACGGATAGGGTCGTCGAGGACGAAGACGCACTCAACGCAAGAAGACCATGCGCGGCGGGCTATAGGAACTAGAGTCAACAGCTACTAGCAGTTTTGCCGATGTGGAGGAGGTGGTGGATGGCGCAACCGGCCCTGCGGTGCGAGACGAACGAAAGATGGGACGCAGAACAGACTGTGACGAAGAACAGGCTGACGGAGCGATGCCCAGCGGTGGTCTCAAGCTAGGGCGCGGAGACGAGACGGACCACGGGTCAAGTACACGGCGGGGGTTGGGACAAAAAAGAAGAAAGAAATGAATTAAGAGGAGGCCCCTTGAAATACTCGCTTCCCAAGTCGAGATGGCGATGGAGGGAATAGAAGACGGGGATGGAGATCCAGAAAGGAACAAGCCGGGCAACGATGGTGATGTGTTGTTGACGGAGTAGGTCGACTGCTAAAGTGGTGGTGGACACGGGCACTTGAGCGTGGAACATGGGCACATGGGCATGGAGAGAGAACCAGTCGTCTGGCTGGTGGAGCAGAGCGCCTGGCCAGACTTTTGGCGGCATGAATCAGGCTGCCTTTCTGGTTTGGAATACTCCGTAAGAAAAAAAAAAAAAAGAGCGCCTGGCGCCAGAGGTGCTGGCCCGTAGAGCCCTCTGGACTACTGGCTCAGGGCGCTCGCAGCCCAGAACTTGGGAGGCAGGGTGGGACTTTGAGCGCTGTGCAGTGAATGTTCAGGACGTGACTGGCTGGGGCCACAGGCTGCATTGCTGTACTCCAATGCTCAAGGGCTCTCGATGCCCCCCCACGCTGGCCACGCCTCCCCAAGGCTCTGGCATTTCCAATATTTACTAAGCATTGGCCGGAAATCCAGCAACCACATGCACATGCAGCCTGGTATCCCAACAGCAATAGCATCGCATCGAGCATCGACAGCCGCCATCCCCGCCGTCGCCGTGGTGCCATGCCACGATCCATCCTGCATCAAGACGATGCCTCGCTCATCTCTTGCCATCCATCCATCTGGCTTTTTGTCAAGACATCTCGTTCCCGGACACCCACTTCGAATCCCTTCCAAGAGTTGCCATTTGCCACGGCCGGCTCCCAACCAAGAGCCGCTTGCAATTGATGCCCAGCCATGTTCAAGACTACATGCATACATACCTAGGTACATTCAGATGTATGGAGTAACTAGCTCCGAAGCCAACGGCAAGAAATCAAATTCCTGTCCGTGAGCAGCATGACATTACACACAATTCCCCCGCCAACTCGGACGGTTCTTTGACAAGGCAACAGCAACAAGACAACCACCACCAAAAGAAGGGAAAAAAAAAAAAGAGTACGCTTCCTCCTTTCCTACTTACCTACCTACCTGGTAGGTATAGATGCATGTCTGGTGTCACTCCAAAGTACGGGAGTTGCCTCTGTCCCTCATATCCTGATTTGCAGTCGTGCAAGGTACCATGACAGTCGGAAACACCACACAGTGACCTCGGCAACAGCACTTGCCCATTCTCACGGTTCCCGGCCATTTGGGACTCATGCACTCCAATCACTTCAACTCAAACCACCCCATCATACATTGGCTGATCATGACCGCCAAACGGAATGGCCGACTACAAGACAAATGCCTCTTCCACGCTGTGATACTTTACACTGCAAGATCCCAGGTACTCCGAAGTCGGAAGACAAAGGGCATCCAACCGAAGCCTCATTATAGGCCCAGAGCATTCCCCTCCTCCAGTACAACCTACCGTGCTTCTTGCCTGGATACCTAAAGCATTCACAGGAATCTGCTTGCCATGCTTTATAAACTCACGAAGCCAATCGTGATTGTTTGCCAGGGGCTTCTCCTCACCGGCAAGCAAACCCGACTTGAGCAACCGCGGGTCCCCACTCTGGCGCTGCATCTGCCAATACTCCGTACAATGGCAGAATCGTGAACCGTGAAAGCGAAGGGACATTGTGTACGCCGTGCGCGTCTTTATTTAGGCATCTACCAAGGTGTATGGGTGTATTTATGTATGTATGTATGTACGTATGTATGTATATATATGCCGGTATTCTAGTCTGTGGTTCTTTCCGTTTACTAGAGGTTCTCTGGTCGTACACGGCCAACGGATGCCTCTGTCTGAAGCAATTTTGTGCGGACCATTGAGATACTGTTTGATCGTCGTTTGAAAATCGGGCGATAGGTTTCAAAAGTGTGCGATATTTGGCTTCATCGGCCTATGAATGACACTGACGTCCTTATATATCCGTCTGAAACCCACAACGGCCTCGTAACATGTCCTCTTGGCGGTTTGGTAGAGGTCGAATCGCAGGGAAATGCAGCAAGCTATAGGGTAAGCCAATGCGTGGGGGAGGGTTTACGAAGGGACGTGATGTTTGATTCGGACCGAGTTGCTAATTCGTCTGTATCCCTCCTGCATGTGGCAAATAAAGATGAGACACTTTTTCTATTAAAAGCTTCTCAACACCGTTCTCGTGCATGTGTTCGGAGTACTCCATGGCTCACCCAAAGGTCAACAACTTGGATATATTCCACGACAAACCATCCAGTAACAGACGTAGCTTTACAAAGCACACATTTGGTGATTCAGACAACATTATTCTCTCCAGTAACCTTGAAAGCCAAGAAGGACCAATCAACCCCTGACTCATCCAGCTGAAAGCAGCGCTTCGAAGAAAGTAACCCCCCCCAGTGTCATCTCTTGTAAGATGTTTCATCGTGTCCAATACTACTGCCCTGGGAAGTTTTTTTTCTGTGCAGGATTGAGACGTGCGCGCCAATGGCGTCGTGCCAGGTATAATGTTCCACAGAATCATCTTTTGGGAGCTTGCTGCATGTTTTTTTTTTTTTTCAATTATTATTTCCAAGTACAAGGCTAGGGTGTCTTGACAATAGTACCCGTGAGGGACTCATATCGGGGATTTTAACGACGCATGGGATGCCGGCACCGACTGGACATGCAGGCGAAAAATGTTGAAAACTTGGGGGTGACATGGTGGTACGTACAACATTCACAAAGTGATGAATGGCATAGTCAGTCATTGCTTGTGAGGCATTGCTCCGCCAATCTGGTGTAGTACACTTGGAGTTATACAAGTTGGGCTCGCCTTCTAGTCGTACAAGACGGTCCTCAAACAGGTGAGCAAGCCTGTCTTGTGAATGCAGCGCAATCATTCGAGTTGGAATACGTGCCGACGTGACGAGCAATGGAACGTAGCAATCCCTGGTGACGGTCTGCTTTAACTAGTCTATGCGGCAGCTCGTCGTGGCGACGACAAGCGAGTAGAAGATGGTACCACCAAGTCATACATGCTCGACTACTGAACATCAAAAACAGATGCGCGTACCCTGATAAGCAAAGGCACATACAGGCGAGTCGGCACCGTCGTGCGCCAAAAAGCCCGCAACACAGAAACACGGCACAAATTCTGCCCAGAAACTTGCCAAGAAAAGCCAATGCTCACCAACACTGCAAAAGTCCAATATATACCCGCAGACGACGAATCAAAGCCCACCAAAAAAAAAAAAAAACCAAGTGCTAGTAGTATCAAACATTATTGTATTCGCCCTCACTCTGCCAAACAACAGCTTCCCCCAATCGATCGACATGGATAGCTACCTACATAGGTACCTAGCTCCCCTTGTCGCCGCTTCCCCCGCATTTCACCGAGCGAGCACATGTCTGGTTCCCCAGAGTCAACCTCATTCCTCACTCTGACCTCGAGTCAAAACGAGCACGGAACCACCAACACATGCCAGACCAGCATTCACCAAAGGAATAGTATAAGAAGAAAGCTCCATCCGCAACGCCTGAAACAAAAAAGGTTCACGCAACAATACGCACCACACAGACGGCCAGCCCTCATGCATGTCTAGCCCGCAACTATTGCCCGGACCCCATCAGCTCGTGTCCCCCCCCGCAAACTGCGACTTATGCACAACGTGGCCCCCAACCACACAGCTGGTGCGCGAGTCCTAAACCCTCTTGTCTCTCGTACCTGTACGGCGTAACCGCATGGGCCCGGGACGACCTCGGGCAGGGACCAGGACGAGGCCATCGCAGAAAAGCCAAATGTGTCTTGGTCGGCGGGCAGTTGGGAGGGGTCAGCGCAATGGGCCGATTAGTCTGGCGAAATATTGGATAAAACCTGCGCGCTCGATAGGTGCCGAAAGAAAACAAGTAGTACTAGTCCCAGGACCAAGCAGAACAAGTGGGCCTTCATCTATTTTTGAACGCAATCCGGTTGATCTACCCATGATCCTGGTCCCTTGGCAGGACGAGGTTAAGCAGAAAGACTGTGAGCGGCACGTGTTCCAGGCTTGGAGACTTGGAGACGGGGCCACGGAGCTAGATCCGGCGCTGGTCCAACACTGGCGACGGCTTATGCAGAGAGGGCCTTTATGCATGCAACTCGAATTCGCTATACTAGGCTGGCACAGGGACTGCTTTCAGTCGTCGCCGTCGCCAACCCGCGCTTGTGCACTCGCACTTGCCTGAGCAGATACGCATGCATATTTTCTTCCCTAGGTACCTTGCTATCTTATCCTCGGCAACATACTACAGCGGATGCACGCAAATAGATTCGTCCAACACAACCAGCACAATAATAATAATACATCGTCGTGTCGTCACCAACCCATCCACCAGGTACAAATCATCGGGAACCCCTTTTCCTTTTCCATTTTTCCCCATATAGGTATATACATTTACGTATACATCTTGACATGAATCGTTTCCCTCCGTCCACCACCATCGCAACTCCATCTGCTCCGTACCGTCATCCCATCCCGCAGCTGCCGCACCCAAAATCTTCCCGGTCGTCTGCATGCACGAGCCGCCGCCCCTCTCAATTCCGCATCCCACCCCAGCTGGCCCCCTCCCTTCTACCGAGTTGGCGCTTTGCCGGGTGGTGCGCCTCCCCCTCGCCCAGCCTGGCACCCAGCACCGTGCAACCCCCTGTCGAACATCTACATTTGACTTTACATGACAACCTGGGAACATTGGCAACATTCAGAGTCCCTCAAGCTACCATCATTTTAACCGGCAGCCTGCACCTCGAGAATCGACTCGACTCGACTCGACTCGACGCTACGCTAACCCGCCGCTTTCCTCCACTTTCCAGCAAGGAACAAGGCCACATGTGCACTTTTGTACCGGTTTGACCGTTGCTGGCCTCCCGTCCACGGTCCTATTGATGGCGCAAACCCAACCGACGGGGCCAGACCACTTGATCAGCTCAGCCTTCTTCTCTTCTTTTATCTCTCTATCCTATCCCCCTCCTGCCGTCTTCCGTTTTCCCTCTCTTGCCATTACTGCTTATATCCATCGTTTACAACTACAATACTCTGTGGCTTTCCGTCCCCCCGGATAGTAATACCTCTGTTTCACGTCGTTTCTCCCTCCTCCCCTCCGCCCGCCTCTTGTTGCTTCTCTCTTCCCTCGACACATGCCAAACCGACGTCATGGCCAATCTCCCCTCACAGCACCCCACTCTGTCCATCCACCTCAGCGACATCACCCTCACGCCTCTGATAACCTCCTCATCCTCCCCGTCCCACCTCGACTCCCTAACCGCCCTGACCTCGAGCGCATTGTCCTCCCAAACCGCCGCCCAGCGCGCACACCTCGGCCGTCCGCAGCGCATAATGGTCGAATACCCAGACTCCGGCGCCGTGGTACTCCAGACATATCTTGACCCTCGCGAGTCCTCTTCGTCTGTCCCCTCTAGCCAGAGCACCTCCCACAAGGATATAGATACCGTTACGTCGGGCACCACAGATGAAGACACAGAAACGCAGCAGTCACCTGACGACGCCGCACCCATGTTGGTGGGTGTAGTCGTTGCGGGTTCGTCCGAGGAAGCGAGAGAGGCCAGGAGGGCCGCCGCGAGGTTGGAGAGAGTCGGAAGGGAGTTTCAGAAGGAGTGGACGGCACAACTTGAGAAAGGTGCTGGTGCAGATTGAGAAGATGCGAGTTTTTTTTTTTTTGCGCTGGTTTACAAGTCTTTGGATATCCAGCCTTGTTGCCAATTGCGAGACTCTATTGGCCGAAATTCGGTGTTAGTGGTATGGGCTCGTGATGCTCAGATCGACATGCAAGGGTGTGTATTTGATCTCAGATCCAGCATCTACACCCGCCAGTTAAGCGAGTGGCAAATTCTGGACAAAAACAGCAACGATGTCCCATCCCATCAACCGCCGTTTTTGGGCAACCGCTCGTCGTCTTTCCTCGTCACGCAGACCTCATGCCATGACTTTGGCAGTTGTCGCAGCGACTTTCGACACACATCCTAAGGCCTCCCCTTTAATTCACCAGCCTCAACACACCCGTCATGACAGCATTCGCGATTTTCGGCATTGTTTTCTTCATTAGCGCGGAGTTATTTTTTGCGAACAGTTTCAAGTCTCTTCTGTGCATATTTCACAATCAAGTTGCACAGACATTGCAGCCAGCTACGTGTTCTCTTTTTAGACAAAAGTCTTGGATTATATGTCATCTTAGTATCATCTGAATTGTTCAGGATTACGACGATATCTATATATTTTATAACCGTCCCAAACTCTCTCATGTTCCGTGCTCTTAATATCGTCGTCACAACGTAGCAATTTTCGTCCCATGACAAAGAAAACATACTCATATAGCTCTAGTTATAGGGGCAGTCCTGCTGCAACAGTGTAGTATCTTAGATGTGCTGCTGGAAAGCTCGGTTGATAGGAGAGCGGATGTTGGGGACGTCCTTCCAGAAATCGATCGTGGCGATGGCGCGCTTGGAAATGCCCTCGGGGGTGAACTCGAACTTCTGTAGAGGTGGTTAGCGGGGGGGGCGCAAAATAAAAATAAATATGTGCGTTGGGGCTAAAATTTGTTGAGGCCCTACCTTGTACACATCCTTGTAGGCACCAGAGGCGCCGAAGCGGTTAATACCAAACTGCTCGTGGGTGTATCGTTCCCAACCCATGGTGCTCATGACCTCAACGGACAGAGAGGGGATACCATCAGGCAGCACAGAAAGTCTGTACTCCTTGGACTGAGAATCAAAGACCTCGAAGCAAGGAATGGAGACAATGCGAGCCTTGACGCCGTGCTTCTCTTCGAGATACTTGGCAGCGTCCACGCAGATGCCAACCTCAGAACCAGTGGAAACCAAGGTGATGTTGGCGCCAGGAACCTCATGCAGGACGTAACCACCCTTGCTGGCCTTCTCAATGGTGGAGCCCTCAAGCTGGGGCAGGTTCTGTCGGGACAGAGCCATGATACTGGGAGTGTGCTTTGAGGTTAGGGCAATGTAGTAAGCAGCGCTGGTCTCGTTACCGTCGGCAGGGCGCCAGACCATGCAGTTGGGCAGGGCACGGAAGTGAGCCAAAGTCTCAATAGGCTGGTGAGTAGGACCGTCCTCTCCAAGACCAATGGAGTCGTGAGTGGCAACCCAAATGACGCGGACCTGGGACAGAGCGGAGAGACGGACAGCACCAGCACCATAGGAGACAAAGTTCAGGAAGGTACCGCCGTAAGGCAGGATAGTACCGTAAGCAGCGAGACCATTCATGATGGCTCCCATACCGTGCTCACGAACACCGTAGCGGACATAGCGACCAGAATAGTCTCCGAGTCCAGTAGCCTTGGGCTGGAAGTCAACCGCGGTCTTCCAACGGGTCAGGTTAGAGCCAGTCAGATCAGCAGAGCCACCGAAGAGCTCGGGGATGGTGCCTTCAATCTTGCTCAGCACAGTCTCAGAAAGTTTGCGAGAAGCGACAGCGGCGTCGGCGGGAGTGTAGACGGGCAGGTTCTTTTCCCAGCCTTGAGGAAGGTCACCCGTCTGGCGGCGCTTGAGCTCGGCAGCCTCGTTGGGGTACTGCTCAGCGTACTTGGCCATGAGCTGGTTCCACTTGTCCTCGTAGGAGGCACCCTCGGAGGAATGCTTGCCATAGAGGTCGTAAATTTCCTTGGGGACATGGAAGGCATCCTCGGGGAAACCCCACTTCTGCTTGAGCTGCTTGATGTCGTCGGCCTTGAGGGGAGAGCCGTGGACACCGTGGGTACCCTGCTGAAGCGATCCATAGCCAATGGTGGTCTTGAGTTTGATCAGCGAAGGCTTGTCCTTGACCTCTTGGCACTTCTTGATGGCAGCTTCAATGGCGGCGAGGTCAGAGTCGCCGTCGTCGACGACTTCGACATGCCAGCCGTAGGCTTCGTATCTCTTGACAACATCCTCGGTGAAGGCACAGTTGGTGTCACCATCAATGGAAATGTGGTTGTCATCGTAAATGCAGATCAGGTTGCCGAGCTGAAGATGGCCAGCCAGTGAAGAAGCTTCGCTGGAGACACCCTCCATCAAGCAACCATCACCGAGGAAGCAGTATGTATAGTTGTCAACAACGTCAAATCCAGGCTTGTTGAAGATGGCAGCAGTATGAGCCTGGGCCATGGCCAGACCAACAGCGTTGCACACACCCTGACCGAGGGGCCCGGTGGTGACTTCAATTCCGGGGGTATCATGGGCCTCGGGGTGGCCGGGAGTCTTGCTGTCGACTTTCTACACGAAGCATTAGACCAATCGCTAAACGATTACGAGCTTTGCGGCTTACTCGGAAGTTCTTGAGGTCCTCAATGCTCAAGTCATAGCCAAAGAGATGCAGCAGAGCATACTGCAGCATGCAGCCGTGGCCATTACTATTTGTTTGCCACTCATGTCAGCTTCATATTCGCTGACCCCGTGGCAGCCATTGTCGAATGGCGAAAAGACTTACGAGAGGACGAAACGATCTCTGTTCAACCACTTGGGGTTCTTGGGGTTGAACTTCATGAATTTGTTGAAGAGAACGTGGGAAACAGGTGCCATGCCCCTGGGAACTGGTCAGCCAACAATTTTTCCTACCAAGGGGCCATGAGCTTTGCATGGCAAGGCTGCTCACATGGGAGCACCGGGGTGTCCCGAGTTGCTGTTGAAGGTGGCATCGACCTAAAAAAAAAGGCATTGTTGTCAGTCACTGGTATCACTCTTTTGTAGTCTGTCGGGATCGATGCCATGCTAAAAATGCATCTCTCCCGGTGTCGCATATCCGTGTTTTGTTGGCGACTGAGCAAACACAGCGTCATGGCGGGGCAGAAGGGGGGGAGCAGGAACATGGCGGGGTAGAGAGCTCAAACGTACTGCAAGCAGACGGATGGTGTTGATGGCCAACTGGTCAATCTCGCCGTAAGTCATGATGGGCTTGCTGTCTGGAGGTCGACTGGATGTAATGGGGAAATTGGAGGGTGAATGGGCAGCGTTCGGGAATGATAAGAGGGATGGTTGGTATTATAAGGAAGAGCGAGAGGAGGGGGGACCGGCGGATGGGACAATGGGCAGGAGCTTTCGATACCGGCGTTGGGAAGTCTGCTGAGGGGTTGGTTATGTAACTCATGTCATGGTCCTTGGGGACGTGGGACTTTGCCGGTGGGTCCGGCGTCGCAGATGTGCAAGGACGGTGACTTTGGCATGAATCTGCGTGCAGAGTCGGTTCTACTCGAGTGGTTCATTGTAACTAACGTTACTTGGATACCTAGGTACGTTATTGGGACTGGCAACCACTGCCGACTGGCTGACCATTTAGGTACCCAAAGTACCCAGGTACGTTGCGCAGCACGGAATACGCGGGAGGTGCTCAAGCGTTCGACGGACATGTCCCGTTGAAATCGTGCACCGTGGACATGGGAGATATGGGACAACCTTGGACCATTATCGCCAATGCTCAAGTTCTGATCTACCGCCTCATGTCTAAAATACATGACGGATTCTCCGCGACGCCACTCGCCACTTGTCACAAAGCCGGTCCCCTGGCTCCATCCCATCCGGACGATTCTGCCTTTCAACAGCTTGTTTTTGAATTTTTGTCTTTTGTTGTCGACGTGTGGTCTTGATGTCGTCGAGAAACCAAGGAGCAATAGCCGACGGAATAGCTCCTTTGAGCTGATCACCACGAAAACCCACATGGGCCTTGACAACAAAAGCTCGTTCTGTTACTTTTACAATACACTAGCACCAAAAAGAAAAAAGATGATAAAAAATGGGCCATGTCCCCTCCAACCGATTCCACCACGACCTGTTGATGCTCCAGTAGATGGGCATGCAGATAAAAGTTTGCAGATGACTGACGCAATATGTCGCGGTCTCTTCTCCAGCACGACTCCATCGCGTTGGGCCAGTGCTGCCACTACATAGGGTGAGAGGCTCGCCGCGAATTATTTAACTGCACCTGGAATATTGGTGATGCAACAGACGACTGGGGACTGTGGAAACACTTTGGCCCAGTGACGTCGCTGCTTCTCCTGGCTCGGTTGAGCAGGCGATTCATCTCCGGGGCCATTGAGTTGGCACCCAACGGTTACTCCGTATACATCCTGCCAATGGCAGCCCGAGACATGCTCATGAAGAGTGATGCCGGACGACTGTGGTCCGGACGGAAACGAAGATGGGGACGGTGGCGTTCGTCGTCACGGCCGCCATCCCAGAGGCAGATCAGTCAGCCTCTGGTAATATTTATGAGGGCACTGGGTGCTTTCATCAACATCCGTATGTGAGTCATGTATATTGCGCAGGCTCGGGGTGTCCACTTCTGAGTCTTGCCGATCAACCGTTGGCGATGCACGAGCCCAAGCGCCATCTGAGAGATTTGTAGATTCAAAAATCGGGCTAAGGAAAATATAACTTCACCCCTAGATCCATCATGTGATAAGGTTCAACCATTTGGCCAAGATGTACATAAATCGTTGGTTATCCCAATTGCGTCCAAAAATGAGGCAGTGGACGCGAGCCGCTGGTGTCTAGTCAGACTCGGATCTATCATGATGCCAAATGCGCTTCCTAAGCCAGGAGAACCACGACCAAGTTTTGCTCCCCCTCCAATCGGCCAGAATGCCCCAAACTCAAACTCAGCCTCGCCCAGCCTCGAACTCCAAATCCAGTCCGCCGCCCGTCCACGCACAACGCGAAATAGTTGCAGCGTGTTTCATTCCAAAACAGGAACCGAGCCGCCGGGACTTTCCCCCTTGGCCATGACAAAGAAATGGTCAGCAAGGCATCAGCACCCAAGAAGAAGAGCCACATCGCCTCCAGGACGGCACCAGCTCAGACAAGCCCAGCTTCCGCACCCGCCAATGGCACTCATTCTCAGCGCGACCAGCAGACCCTGGTGAACATCTTTGCAGGCGCATTCGCAAACGTCCTCTCGTCGGAGCACCTCCCCGCGCTGCTACAGGAGATCAAGCAAGCGTTGTATAACAGAGATTTCGGGCGGGCGTTTGGCAGAGAGGACTGTCTGGAGGCGTATGCGGCGCGATGGAGTCCTACGAGGGCCCTGTGCTATGCCTCTGTCTTCCTGGGCATCAACGCACATCTTGACGGGCTGGCGTCCGACGCCGCGAGCAGTGTCGAGTCCGAGGCGACCCAAGATGGCGCTGCGGACTCGCCCGACGAGCAGGGCGAAGCGAGGCCAAGGAGAGACAGACTCAAAATGCTCTGCATAGGAGGCTGCGCCGCCGAACACGTCGCCTTTGCATCCTACCTCGATCAGACGAAGCGCTCTGGGACGCTCGCGCTCCTCGACTCCGCGCCCTGGAAACATGTCACCTCCATGCTGCAAATGCAGCTGACCACCGCCCCCGCGCTGTCGAAATACGCCTCGGCCGCAGCCAGGGCCTCCAACGCGGCTCTTGTCGACCCGTCCCAACTGGCGTTTAGCTTTACGCAGGCGGATGTTTTGTCCTTGACCGCTGAGGCGCTCTCGGAACAGCTGGGATCGGCCCCGTTGATCGTCACGCTCATGTTTACCCTGAATGAGCTCTACACAGAAGGCGGCATCGGCAAGACCACCAAGTTCCTGAGAAGCCTGGGCCAAGTCATTCCAGGGGGGAGTTTGTTGCTCGTAGTCGACAGCCCGGGGAGTTACTCGGAGGCTGCGGTGGGAAAGGAGAAGAAGCGCTATCCTATGCAGTGGTTACTGAACCACACCTTGTTGGAGAGCGAATCCTCGGGATATACTTGGGACAAGTTAGAGTCTGAGGAATCGATATGGTTTAGAATGCCCGAGGCATTGTCGTATCCTATCCAGTTGGAGAATATGCGGTACCAGATGCATCTTTATCGCATTTCGAAAAAGCTAACTAATGCGTAGCTAAGAATAAACGGAATAAGCGTAATTTCAATGACAATTATTAATTATGAGTAGTCGTCAATGCTTCGTAAGGTTTCTAGGGAGTACTCGCGATCCGTCACATCTAGGCCCAGACAAGTCTCTTGATCGAATGTCCCAACTGCTCCAACAATCCCGTATTCTTCTTCGCCTCCTGCAGCGAAATAATCTCCCCCCTCTCCACGAAACTCTTTTCACCCTCCCCTTCCTTCCGCAGCTGCGCTTCCAGAGCCAGCCGCTCAATCTCGGAACATATAGTAATTACCTGCTGCAGTTCCGTCTGCTGCAGGCCACCTGTTCCTGATATAGCTGTGGAAGAATCCATGTACGGAGCTTTAAACGCCAACCTCCGGATAGCAGGCGATTTTGCTTTGGGCAAGAAGAAACTAGCAAGGCCTACCTGCGCCTTGGCCTCATCCTGAGAAGCCGACTTCGGCGCGATATACCCCTTAGTTGAGAGCGTCCGTGTATTGGTTCTCTTGATGTTGCTTTTACCTGGCTGGTAGGATATCACGAGCCCGACATTCTTTATTTCGTCCATGTGCGCTGGCGCAAGGGTTGACGTGATATAAGTTCCGAATTTGATGTGCGTCACGTTGGCGAGGTGGACGCGTTCAAAGGAGGATACCTTGTCAAGATCCCAGTCAAAGCGGCATAGGTACAGAGCAGCGTCTGTCAGCAGGACGACGACTTCTTCCATGGGCCAGGATTTTACCACGTCAGCCATGTTGGGACTGATGAGAACCCACCCGCCATGGACTTCTTCACTTGCATCGGCAACTACTCGTTTTTGGCAAAGCTCGACAGCTCGCTGGCGCATTTTGGCAATGGATACAGCAGGATCTTTGGTCATCATGTCGGACTCGAATTCGTCAAAGACCTTTTCTGTTGCAGTTCCGAGCAGAAAGTCTATGACTGCTTGACTGAAGTAGTCGTTGACCATGCTGCAACCATTATGTTAGAGCAAGCCACAAAATGCTTTTGAACACACAAGTGTACTTACCCGCTGTAGAATCGTGCCAGTGACAGTCCCAAGTCATTCAACGCTCCACGATAGTCTCGTTTTCTCGTCCTCGTATAGTCGCCCTTCATAGCGGCCGTAGACGCATACTGCTTGGAGACTGCGTCGCCATTGTCTGCCCAGAGAGTATTAAACCACCTCGTCTCCTGGTCTAGCTGCGCACTCATATCTATTCCATCTCCCTTCAGCTGCAAATCTAGCATATGCTTTGCAAAGGAACTCTGGCACACGTTCGTTCTGTCTAGACAATCCATACAGTTCGTTCTGAGGACACCTGCCTGCCGCTGGGTAATCTCGCCGCCGACTTGGGTTGTGCTGCCCAACTCTTCCAACCTACCCCTTAGTTTGATGAGAAGCTGACTGACATTCTCGAACTTCATTCCACGGCAAGCATGGTGAAAGTCAAACCACTCGAATGGAATTTTGTCGTTCTCGCCGAGCTCTTCATTGAGGCGTGAAACGTTTGCCTCGTATTGTGTTCCGATGGGCTCTTCAACGCCGCGCTTCTCAACCAAATTGACGATTTGAAGAGATCCATAGTTGGAATGGAGTCTCTCAAAATGTCTCTTGCAGGCCCTGTAGTTGCTCTCGGGGGAGTGTTGTATTACTGGGACTGGTTTCAATGAGTACGCAGATTGCGTGAAAAACAGTGGAATACTTCCGCGAATCTGTACAAATGAGTGAATTGGTGAGGATCGGTCCCATGCAGGCGAGGAGATGATTTGTTCCGTCTCCACCATATTTGCTGTGAAGCCCTCCTCGTTGATGCCTCTACGAAGGTACCTTAGACCTGCACGTTGAGTCGACCTGCGAGACACCAGCGTGATAAGACACTTTCTCTCTGACGGCCTTAGATCGGCACGGTCCCCAACGCGTCCACTGGGCGGTGATACTGGTAGAGATTCAGAGGTAGACATGTCGGCGAGTTCCATAGACTCAGATGCACCTTCATCCATCTGAGGAGGATCACTATCCACTACAAACGTTCGCTGGCCAACAAATCCTTGCATTAGCGGGAGACTTATTGAATCTTGACCAGTTGCTATGAACTTTCCCAGTATATGCCGGTTCCAAAAGAACTTGTTGTCAACTTGTGTGTGCAGAGGTGTGTCTGGATTTGGGATCCAAGACTGTTGAGAGGTGCTTCGAGTGAGGTCAATATCGTAGGAGAAGTAAAAGCTCCTAGAAGACCCAAAGAAGACTTGCATCGTCCGCAATAACTTTGGCAACAACGCTGTTACCTGGCTTTGGTCACTCATATCCTCTTCAGGTGGTGTCTTGGATGTGGCCGGTTCGCCAGATGCTTCCAGTGTTGTCGGTGAGCCTGCGGTTGCAATGCTCCAGCCTAGGCTTCGTCTTTGATCCATGGTCCATCCACTGTTACTGAACCAACGCTGAGCAAAACGGCCATAACTGCCCCGGCGACGCATCACGTCCTCGACGACACTGCTTCGAGATGAGTCGGGACGAGTCTTATCCTCCTCACTGATTGTGTCTTCGACTTCATCAATGGGAGACTGAGGGCTTTCAACGTCTTCGTCGCTGCTTTCGGAGTCGTCAACTTCCCCATTTGGTGTTTGCTTCCTGAGAAGGCTGGCTGTCCTGCGGATGGACTCATCGGCCTCTTGCTTTGTGTTGCATGGTGTAATGGCAACGCCAGTGACAACATAGATAGGAAATCCGAAGATCTGTGCGACTTGCTGGCGGCGGGTAATAGTGATGAGATAGCTAAGTCTTGAAACTGTAATTAAGCCTGATGCATGAACTTGTTAGACAGCATTTCAACAGCATCTGGCACCTGAGCGAAGGAGGTCTTACCGATAACACCAAACGCTTCGAACGACGAGTTCGGGCCTGAAGTATCAGGTATTTGGTCCCGTGGAACTGCTGAAATAGATGAGTCGTCATATCTGATCCTAACCGGCTGAAATGGTCGTTGTCCCTTTGTGGAAAGCGGCTGGAGAATGAGACCATCGATGGCAGCGCATATGAGGATCTTCCGGCTGATTCCGGGCATGATGTTACGATGACACGCCGGACGGAGACTCAAGACTCGCCGAGCAGCATTACGAGGTAGTCAACACAGGCAGCAGGACAAAATGGTCAATAAGATGAGTTATGAATGAATGACCCTGCTAGGCCGACGATGCAGCGCGGGGATGAAACCAAGGCGAGAGAGCTAAGGGTGAAGCGGAGCATTGCGTCCGACGTGGAAGCTTGGAATTGAGTAGGAGTGTGGAGAAGCGTCATTGATGATCGACCGTGAGTGACCAAACGCAGAGCAACAGGGGCTGAGTTGTTCCTTCCCAATACACTTGATGGGAGTTTGCAAATGTCTCCAGAATGCAACAATCAGGTCGTGGCAGAGGGCAACGCACATCGCATGTACTGCAAACGACTGAAAACTATCAAAGAGATGAGGAGTTCGACAGTCAACCATTTAAGCATGGAGCCGGGAAACTATCTAGCTGAATTGCAATTCATGAAGGTTGTGCGGGTGCCGCAAATGGAGAAGCTAGTCGGCAACTTTGAACGAATGGATGATGTCTTATCATTCGGCGTGATTTGCCACGGACTAACGCATCATGCCTACCTACTTAGGTAGGTACCGAGTAAGTAATTGAAATACTATTGTCTCTTGAAGTTTCCTGTGCTGGTGATGGGTCAAATCCTGACGTTGCCGATTGGGCTTGGGCCAGTATAGCGGGTGTCTACCAATTGATCATATGAACAGGTTTAAAGGTGCTGTAGGATGTTGTAGACACTACAAAGTTGTAATTATAGAGACACTACCAGGCATTACCAATGCATCATGAAGCTGCAAGTTTGCTATCCCACGTTTCGCATCAACAGCCCAGGAATGGGAGCTTCAGGGGCCGGTGTTTACCCGACCACCCGGGCCACAGTTGAGATTACGTAACCACGCATCTTTGTCCTGGCCCCGTGCGGCAAAACCTTACGCCAACCAGAACGCCAGCCAGGGACTGAGTCCTCCATCCACCACTGCATCTTGACATAACCCGACGACAACGGCCAGCCATCACCGAAGCTTCCCCTGCCATCAACTGCCGGGCCTTAACGCTAGCAACACACTCGATCTCGCTCCTCTCTTCGATTATTTAGCACCGACTCGCCAAATACCGCCAAAATGGTCTCCGAGCTTTGGTATGTCGCCCATGCCTGCCACGCTTCTCTCCCTGTTGTCATGATTCGATGGAGCCAAGCTCCCGCGACGCATCCTTTGAAGCTTCCGGCATCGCTGGCTCTGCTCTTACTCGATACATGTGACAAGCGTGCGATATTTGACAATGTTTCAAGCTGACCATGATATTTCTGTAGCCCCGTCTACGCGGTTAGTCAACGCACTCTGTCCACCTGCCGACCGACGTCACTACTGGCCCCGACTTGGGGCGACGGCACAACAGTCGTGCGCGTTAATGACAGCCTCCACTAACCATCGTCAATAGCCCTTTTTTGGCGCCATGGGTTGCACATGTGCCATTGTATTCACCTGCCTGGGTGCCTCATACGGTACTGCCAAGTCTGGTGTCGGTATTGCTGCCATGGGTGTCCTCCGCCCTGACCTTATCGTGAAGAGTGCGCACTTGTCTCATCCTCACAGTCTCGCCAGCGTCGAAGCTAACGCATCAATATAGACATCGTTCCCGTTATTATGGCTGGTATCATTGGTATCTACGGTTTGGTCGTGTCTGTCCTCATCTCCGACGGTCTCAAGCAGGAACTCCCTCTGTACACTGGCTTCATCCAGTTCGGTGCTGGTCTGGCTGTCGGTCTGGCTGGTCTTGCTGCTGGTTTCGCCATCGGTATCGTTGGTGATGCTGGTGTCCGAGGAACCGCACAGCAGCCCCGTCTCTTCGTCGGCATGATTTTGATTCTCATTTTCGCTGAAGTCTTGGGTAAGTCTCGCGCAGCAAGTAACATGCAGCCATATTGTGTTTTGTCTAGATGTCTGACCAATGTCACTAGGTCTGTACGGTCTCATTGTTGCCCTGCTCATGAACTCCAAGGCCACTCAAGACACCGTTTGCCAGTAAGCGGCATGATACGATGCTGTAAAAGGCGACCCGACAAATTGTACTTATCAGCAAGAGGCGCTATTCCTGGCATGGATCGGCACACACCAGGCGCACAGCGAGCAGGTCTTTAACATCTCTAATACGCTGGGGGTGTGCACGGGCTATTTGATCGCTGGCAGAACATGACTTTAAAAGGAGGTGACGAAGGAAGGGGCGGTGTAATCCCAATGGAGGTCGCATATGTACACTAGTTGCAGACGAAGTTTGGCCTCGACCGGTTTCATTATAGACAGTGGCGGTGAAGGAGAATCTAGTGTAGTCTCTGTTGCTCATATCATGGTTTACAACACAGAATTCCCTTGTCTTGCGTCGATACATCTGTCTGACTCGGACTTTGTCTGATAAACATGTGGCAGCATTAAGTCATGATGGCTTCGCGCATGTCCTTAAAGGTGAGCGTGTATTTGTAAGCGCGAATTGCTGATAGCAAAAATTCCCAATTACATGATATTAGGTAGTCCTTGTAGACATTATAAAACTGAGTAAACCACTCTTTACGCCTCCCAAGGATGAGTTCCCATCCCCCAACCACCCGCCACGCATATTTTCCACCTCTAACCAAGTTCATTACGTTTGTGAAGCTGAATATTTACGCAAGAAACATCCCCCCAATGGTTATTGTAATACAAAGCTGTGTTTTGAAAGCAAGAGTGCTCCCCCTAAGCCGCGGCGTCTAGATGACGTACTACACGATGCATCAGATACCATAATCCAATCAAGGTGCAGGGAAGGAAAAAACTCACAGGAATAAAGAGGTAGGGAACTTGTCGCTCATACTCGAGCCAGTGCTCGCCGTACTTGTTACGGCAGCGGTGAATATCCCGTGCGGCGCGGTGCGCAATCATGCAGCAGAAAAAGACTGGGTAGAACCAAGGGAATGGGCTCCTGTTGACGAGTTAGTCTTTTTTCGCCACTAAAAGAAGGAGTGAGGGAGAGGAAGAGAGAGCAGAGATGGAGCTTACTTGAATCCAGTAATCAGGCCCCAAGAGATGGCGAACCACGCGTCGGCGGTATAGTGAATTTTGCGGGCAAGACCGTACCAGCCGTCGACGAGGATGGTGCCCTGGGGAGTCTCAATGGTCTTGGGATTCTGGATAGTCTGCCAGGGAACTTGGGGGAAAGTCTTCCGGGCTACCATCTTCCCGCGCTCCATTGCGCGGAAACGGTTCTTCTGGCTGTTGCAGCTATCCCAGACCCAGTACCAGAAGAGGTAGGTAATGTACAAGAAGGCTAGGAACCAGCGGTTCCAGTGGTACTCGGATGGGTCGTGATTAGCGAGGTAGATGGTGCAGTGGCAGTAGGATAGCGGAACACCGGCAAGGTTCCAGAAGATGAGCATGAACCCCCATTTCTCGTAGTACATGTCCCAGGTGGTGATGATGAGCTCCTCGCCCTTGGCACAGGCATTGGCGTAGAGGTAGTGAGCCATGACGAGGAACATGACTTCGCCAGAGACGTAGCCGTAGCGCTCCCACTGACGTGCGGCAGTACCCAAGCTGAGAATGAGGAGGAAGTACCACGGCATGCGAACTTCGCAAAACATCTTGAAGTCCAAGATGCCAAACATGCGAGGGTTCAGCTCGGCACCCATGAAGAAATCATAGATGGGGTAGCCGGTCATGCGGTGCTCCTTTCCGCGGTAGAGGGCGGAGAAGTATGCAGCAAAGCTGACCAGAAAGCCGCTCAGGATGGCAACGGACAGGAGGGGACCGAATTCGTCAATGGCATTGTAAAGCGGCCAGATGCCGGTGAAGTGCAGCATTGCCAGGATAGCGAGCGTAAAGTAGAGCGTGACAAATGCGTTGCAGTAGTACTTGAGCTGCTTGCCCCCCTCGTGCGGAAGAGGCTTGCCCCAGCCCCATATACCGGGGAGCAAGCAGTAGCAAGCACCTTGGAAGATGAGATACGACCAATACCAGAACCAAGCCTTTGCATGGGGAAACGCGCCGGTATACACGTAGTTGACGAGCTGTGCCCCAAAAGAAGCCCAGCCCTGACCTGGTGCTCTGGAGGGAAATTTGCCATCATAGTAGGTAGCCCCAATCCACATGTACCACATCAGAACCGGGAAAAGGATCATCATGGCCAGAGTGCCAAAAGAACCGCCGAACTCGAACTCGCCGGAGTAATCAACCCTGGGGTCCTGGCCTTCGCGCCATCCGTCAACAACGCCGGCATCAGCTGACTTTGGCGGGGCCTGCTTCTTGGGTGTCGACTTCGGGGTGGATTTCTTAGGGGAGTCATTGGAAACGACCTCTTCCTCGTGAGCAGATTTGCCATTGGTCCGGGGTTTCGTCTGCTCCTCCTCTTCGCTCAAGCTCTCAGTGAACTTGGCGGTGCGGCGGCGCAAAGATCGAGTGCGTGTCGACAAGCCGCCAGCCGAGCTCGAGTCGTTGTCGGCGTCGGATGGTAGCTCAGGGGGAAACGAGGACTGACGACGCGATGACCGTCGCGACGCAGAGGGTGTTTCCACCATGCCTTCGAAGAGTTCCTTCTTCCTGTATATCCAATTAGCCCGTGTTCATTCAAGCAGATGGTTACTGCTTGGCGGAATTGGCGGGCTTGTGCTTGGCTTAGGGAGCGAATTTGCAAGCCAATGGCAAGCCAACCGCTCCGCCATCCTTTCCCATGGGCGTTTTCAACGTACCTAGGCGTTTGGCGTAGCGAATATCGGGACATTATGGCGGTGGAGGCACTGTGGCCTTTGTATCAGTTGAACAGAATTAAGGAGAGCAGAGAAGAGGAAAGGTTGAAAAAAATAATGATAGAAAATCGAGACGGCGAAATATTCAGGTCATGTAGCACGGGTGAGAGAGCTCACAGGAGGACCTGGGCTATGATGATGCTGAGTACAATGCGACCAAATCCGTGATCAGGCTACAGGACTGAAGCAAACATTGAAGGAAACGCAGGGAATTTAGAAAGCTGGTTTGGAGTGGCCTTCTGCGCTTGGAGCACAGAAGTGGGGAGCGGAGGGACCAGTTGACGCTTCAATGCTGAGCGGGTTGACGGTGTTACGCTATTGGCGGCGCGTTTGAAGGGCTGAAAGTGGCATTTTGTTGACAATTGGTGGAGACGAGCGGTGCGTGGGCACATTTGATCAGTCAATTAATACGGATACCAGACTTCTTGGTTCTCGGCACTCATCAGGGGGACCCAACCCAAGCCATGAGCCAATCCAGGACAGTGTCAACAAGAGGCACGGGCGCCTCCGTAACTACTCGCACTCTATTGGTCCCCCAGCAACACGATGAGTGCACGGGACGAAGCCCTCCATTTGGATCGAGCCGTTGCAGACTCCAGAGCCTGTGTACTTTTTGCTGATGGGGAAGATAATTGCGTGTGCTAGATTGTGCATCATGTGCAGTCGGTGACTCTGGCCGCTGCGCGTTTATGTATTCGAGTACCGGGTATATAAAAATGCCAATGAATGCTCTCCCAATCGAGAGCTTATGGGCCGTTGCGACGGGTGCCAATAGTGCTGGTAGGAATCAAACTTGGATTCCGTATGGCCTAGAGGACACTCGGCAGGATATAAAGAAAATACATGGATAAATAAAGAGACTTTCAATTCCCACCACTATAGTAGGCAGAATGCACATCTGTACACAATAATCCCTAGCCCTCATTGCCATCTATACGTATCCCACTCACAATATTGCCCCAGTCATACATAGTTTTACTCATTTACTAACCCCGTTAAATTAGTGGAAATCGTCTTCATTCTCCATGTGAAATCACACGTTGGCCTCTCCGCTGTCCGTAAACTGCCCCCCAACCTCCCTTTTTTTTTCATTATTTTCGTAGTAGCAATCCTCCCATAATACAGACAGTTTCAAACTCTACATTCAAATCGGTGTCGACGAAAGCAGGGGACGGCCCCCAGAATGACCCGGAAGCAGTTTGCCAACAATGGTGAGCCATTGATCCTCCAGCCATCCCCCCCCTCTGCATGAGCTGCTCCCTTGTTGCTCCAGAGGGGACTATTCCGAATGGCAAAAGCCGCTGTGCTTTTGACCGAAGCTATCCCTGGCATGGCAACCCGTCAGTTTTTCTCTCTCCGAAAAGTTCATTGCGACGCGGAGAGTATATCGGAAGCCGGTGGTGCTAGAGATGTGCTGCTTTACCGTCTTGGGTTCACCGTAGCATGTATGAATGACTGCCGCAATACTTTATCGCATCTTTCTCGGCATATGGGCAGGCCAACGCGGGGAGAGGACAGTGCGGCTGCTAAGCCCTCGTTGACCTGCATGTCCGCTGGGCCACCTAGATGCGTCCTTTCGAAGGCCTGGGTTGTCTTTTCCTCCCTTGGTCATAGTCCTCTCTGAGCCATGGGTCGCACGTTTCTTCCCAGACTTGGTGCCATTCTTTCTTTCACAGGACGAGGAGTCGCCGTGGGGGCGCGTCGCTCTATTATTCTTCTGGACAGGAACGTGCCGCAAATGCCTATTGGCCCAGCGTAACCGCCAACGATCCAATCGTAACAGGGCATCTCTTACTCTGCCCGATTGAACGTTCAGAAAGGGGTGTCTATCTTCTAGAATGGGAACGGTTTCTGAGCAGTCCGACACCCAAAAGCACTCAGTATCGGATGGCTCGTCTCTCGGTGGCTGTGACGTATAGTTCTGATTCGACATGTTTGGCCCGGATGCTGAGTCTATGCTTAGGCCATCTGATTCGTTCGTTGATGATGACCCTTTCAGAGGATAACGTATCTCTAGCTTCGACTGTGAATTGGCGGAGAAAGAGTTGCCCAGGCCTCCGGAAATTGGACTCTCGTGCGCCTCGTTTCGATACATGCCCGTCTTGAACAGCTGTGGAGGTAGCACATATGTTACACGATCACCTTCACAGTGCCCAGGCATTTGATTTGCCGCCATGTCCCAAGTATCCTCCTGCCGAGCCGCGTTCTTTGGAGAAAAGAAGTCATCTGAAGCCCGAGAACCGCGCGAAAGGCCGCGGATGGAAGCTGCGGATTTCCCACTCGTTGTTGAGTTCCTCTCCTCCTGCTGCAACTGGGCCGAGGATTGTAACTCATCGATGATGTTGGAGTTTAGGTTGAGGGTGATTGAGTCGGAGGTTGCCGTGTCGATTTGCGCCTGAGTAGAGGTCGCTTCCCTTCCTGCGACCATCTTGACTCTTTGGAGGATCTGAGGGCAGTCTTCCGTCACATCAAGCTGTGGCAAAGGATCATTGTGGCAGCTTTGCAATCCGTGACCAGGCATGATGCCGATGAAGTGATTATGACGGATTTTTTTAGGTTGAATGATGAATTGAGCGGCATCCTGACGGGACAGGATGTCTTTAAGCTAGATCTGGCGTGTGTGTTTAGTGCACCGATGTGCGTCAAGATCTGCAACCAATGTCTCTTTGCGCACCGCTAGGGTCGCAAAGAAGTGAGCTCTGTGCGCCACATGCTCCTTGGCCGCAGATATGCTGCGTTTCTCGGTACAGGGGCTGTGATTGACAGGGTATGGACGTCGAGTGATTCCCATTTCTTTCCTTCTTTTCTTTCAGCGACGCCACACTAGGCGTAAAAAGGCGGCCCTAATCCCAAATATCCGTTATTGACGAAATGAGATGACTTGCCCAGGACCTTTTGCGTATGCAAAAGCGGAGTCTTGGGCCGTCGCCTCCCTTGCCTGGTGCACTCCAGCAATCGCTCCAGTGGCAGTGTAATCCGGGAGCACAGCTCATTAAGATGGACGGCCGTCTAGACAGATATCAGTAGGCTGTAGCAGAGCTCCGCACTCTGATTGTCAAGCGGAAATCCATCTTGGAAATCTGCTCCCAGCACTCGCAGGCCCAATCGAGTAAGGGCACATCACCAACATCGGCAGTCTCGGATACGGAGTGTCCACAATCATGGCCCCCCGTCCTGGTCTTTCGGACGTGCAGATTTGCAGGATATTTTTCTGTAACGTGGGCAAAAAACGTGGGCAAAGAGACTTGTCTGGTTGTAGCCTCAAGGTTAGCACTGACCATGTCTTGTAGTGATTCAATGTTGGACGGTCTGCAGAGTTACCAGTTACGCGCATTGGACGTGGTTTGCGTTGGGAGACGCCGTGGCTAAATCACTACCCAACCGGCCAAGTCGCTTATTGGAATCACAGCGTTTCCATTCCGAGAGGGTTCCAAGGTGCTTCAGCTGAAGTCGACAGTTCAGCTGCCAACGTTGTGGAGGAGATTGTCGCAGCAGTTGGGGGCACCTGGGAAGATCGAATGCGGTTGGAGACCTGCGGGGGAGCGGGTCAGCGGGCCGTGCCACAGTCGGCAGGCCAGTGAAGCCGTGGAGCAGTGGACATGTGGCCCCGCCGTTGGTGGGTGTGGCGGGTGATAGCGATGCCTGGAAACGCCTGGAGACGCCCACTAGTACTACTGAAGAGAACAGTTGGAGCGGGGTACATTTGTCTGGTGGCATCAGATCGATGTCGTCAGCCAAAGAATAATGACGTTACTTGTCTGCCGGAGCACCCAAGGAGTCAAGTTTCTGTGGGACTTGATCACTACATTGACCCCTTCGAATGCAGCCAGTGATGCTGGCTAGTTTCCCAGCGGTTAGATTACGCTCGTGTCCTGGACCATCGAACTCTGCAAAAGTGAGCCTTCAGAACAGCAAAGTCACCCCAAGTCAGAAATCGTCACAGACCTGCAAGAACTTGTCCATTCGGTCAAGGATTCTGAAATCCAGCATCTAATCAGAGAAAGGGACGTGAGACGAGGCTTTCCAAGAGCTGATGACAAGATGTCATCCATCCTGCTATGAAGGCGCAGGATAACTTACTCAACACCTGAATCGGCAGAAACAAAGTGTGCTCTCAAAACACAACCTGATCCATCAGTGAGGCAAAGCTAAGTGTGAAGCTAAGAGACCTGTCGATATCCACACGGACGACCTTCCTGAACTCGTCCAGCACAAGCAAGAGAGAATCCTACGCTCGCTTCACTGCAACCAGATCAATAAGCTAGAATCGAGGGTAGTTGCAGCACGCCGCAAGACTTTTGATTGGGCATTTCACGAGAACTCTACCGTCAACTACTTGCGATGGCTGCATTTCGGTAGCAGAGTGTATTGGATTATCGGGAAAAACAAGCTTGTTTTTGCGGAAATTTTCTTCTGAAATGTCGGAACGGCCGTTCAAAAGACTAGAGGGGGCCTTCTTGGACCCTTTTTGAGGCGAGTACTACGGCAGGCGCCTCATCACATAGAGGATGCTCGTTCCGAACGGTGGTCTGCGTCATTTGCTAATGTTTTTCGTGCCGGGACGAGTGACGGGCTTCTGCAAACTTTAAGGACACTGGACACAAAGCGAGATACTATGATCTGATTTTGCTTCTGCATAAACGGGATTGATGAAAGCACGAATGGTGACTAAGAGCCCGTGGATCTGGTTTCTGACATGGCAACTTGGCCCAATTCCAACATTTGTACTTCAAGTCGGCCCTGGGATGCATGACCGCCGCATTTGAGCGAAAGGAATATAAAACTTTACTTACAGGACCTAACTAACGACTACATCAACAGGTACATTGACCATAAATTGGGCGAAGCACCAAGATTACGACAACCAAAAGCTGGAAATGAAGACCTAGCGTAGGAAATCATCCCTGAGGCTACTAACAGAACCCAAGGAGTCCTGTGGGCTTACCTGGTCGTGCGATTCTTGCTTCGAGGCTTTTCCAATGGTGACGAAACATCAGATTTGCAGCACAGGCTACGAGAGCTGCCCTCTGGGTTAGAAGAATACTTGAATCGAATTCTCTCCACACTAGAGAGTGTCTATAAATAACTGGCCACCAATATCAGCATCTTCCTTGAGCTGGCGTGTAAGTGCGATTTGGCCACTTTGAGGAAGCGGCGGTATGAAAGCTGGATCAAGCTGCACCTGCATGAAATCATCCTTTCTACATCACAAAAGAAGCGGCCTTTGCTTGCGTTGAAGGCGGACCAAAAGACAGACTGAACAATAATGGCGACATACCTCGTGGCGACGGGGAGAACCGAGGGTGAAGAGACTCCCAATATGTTCAAGCAAGATGTGGCGAGCCAGCAGATGGATCCATATCTTGGAAATCGGGGAGCTATAAGGAGGAATAAGTCCATAGAGTGACTTCACTGCGAAAAAGGCTACATTGGTAGACAGAGGTGTGATGACGGATGACGAGACATAAAGATTGAGATATGAAAAATATCAAGGGTTAGGGTTGTTTGAAGGTGGGGGAGCCACTACGGTACCGTTGATCAATTGATGTCGACAATCCACCAGGCAGGCAGGCCGTACCCGCTTGGTCCGTCAGGGCACGCCAGGGCTTTTGCTATTGGGGCTACTAAAATTGCTATTGGGGCGACCGCCCCACATCGATTTCAAACCCACACCCCAAGCTGCCACACCCCTCCATACATTTTCACATACAACGCCCTGGCAACGCAGCGATTATCGCGAAAACGGCTGCGCACGACGAAAAAAAAACAGGCTGCAGCCGCACCAGGCAGCCTTCTTTAAACAACATAATAACATCGCTAAAAGCTGTTATTTTGAGCCGCTTTTTTAAACCTCTTTTTTATCATTAATATCATTAAAATGAATACTGAATTTATTGAGCTTTTTGACGATGATCACGATGATTATGATAACGATATTAATGACCCCTTTGCCTCGCAATCTAACGAGCCCGCTGAAGATAACTCTATTGACCGCCCGATTCCTGGAATGCCTCCACCATAAACCTATGGCAGCTTTGATGAACTTTGGGACGATTTACAGGCTTGGGCAAAGGCAAATGGTACAGCTTTCATCAAAAAATCCATGACCAAATATGTAGATATAAGCGAATATTAATAGCCTTGATTTAGCTATATTATTTGTAACCGTAATGCTAAAAGGCCTATAAAGTCTCAGGGAATTCGATAATAGTTAATAAAAAAAGCTAACTGCGAATTTAAGCTTAAGCTAGTAACTACTAAGAAAAAGGGAAACTAGCAGTGGACCTACGAAGTAGTTAACGGTTATTACAATTACAATTAAACCCTTAAGGTATCAGCTAATTCCGTGTATCGTTAATTTATAACGAAGGAAAAAGAGCAAATTACAAGCCTCGCAAAACACTAAGCTCTTTTAGTACGAGAAATTAGTGAGATTATACGCGAAGAAGCTCAAAAGGAGGGAAAAGAGCTTTATTTTCGGCGCAAAGACCTTTATAATCAAATTGCAAAGATTCGTGAGAAAGACCTTAAAGGTTTTAATTTAACATAATGGGCTGTAAAGCAGCTCTAAGACCGCAAATTGCTACACAGCGTTAAATATAATGATAAGGGTCATTTTAAAGCTGCTATTTGGACCTACGATAGTTGCATTAAAAATTGGAAGACTTTCCCGGAATTTATCGCGATGGATAACACATTTAAGACTAACCGCTATAGCCTCTATCTATTTAAAGCTATTACTATTACGGATTAAAATTCAATTACAAATATCGCCTTTAGGCTACTAAGCTCGCAAGAAGAGGATAGCTACTAATGGCTTCTATCCAAGCTCGATAAAATTTGACTTTAACACCAGATTACAGAGCCTAAGGTTATTATGACTAACCTAGAGCTTGCACTAAAAAACGCTTTAAAGGTTATTTTCCCGCGGACCTAGTAGCAGCTCTGTGTCTAGTATATTCGTACGAATATTAAGGCTAAAATTCAGTTAATTTAGAAGCCTTCTGCCGATAATAACGATCCTAACGACCTAAAAGCCTTCGATAAATGCCCTAACGGAATGATTGAAGCCGTGAAGGCTCTAATCTACACAAGCCAAGTAGATGAGTTTAATTTAATTTGGATTAAAATAAAAGAGACATATAAATCACAGTAAAATAATATCGTTGAATATATTAAAAAGACCTATTATAGTTAGAAGTAATAGTGGGCTTGCTAGTATACACGATATCTTTGGAATTTTGGCCACACAACTAATAGCCCTTGTGAAGCAGTATATCGCGATGCAAAATCCTACATACATATAGGCATAGGAGATCTGTACGTGCTTTTTAAATCACTTGATTAATTGCTTGATAAAAAAGATCGCGAATATCGTTAATAAGCAGCTAAATGGGAGTTAAAGTAGCGTGGTTTATATAAGCACAGCGAATAGCTTAGTATGCTGCTCACATAAATATCCTATAAAGCTGTTAATCTCTTAGCCTAGTAGTATAAGCTTATAGATGCTAATTATCGCGA